ATTTCTAGAAGCATAAGATTGTCGTATGTTACTTTCGGCAGGTTTTGGGAAATTGTGATTAAAGTTTAATAAAATATCTCGATTAGTTTGGTATGACTGCATTATTAACTAAATTTGCACTAAATTACCGATAAAATTGCAGTCAATATCTTGGAAACTAAAGTAGATTTCCAAAAATTGAAAATACCAATCGAAAGATCTTATTTTAAAATATACAACTGAAGCTAAAACTAAAAATCGCCAAAATGGTATTTACGACTATCTTTTATCCAGCTGAGATACATATCTATATTATTAAACGCGCGATATATCAACGCTGCGATCATTTCAAAATTAAATTAGCTGAAAAATATTATAAGCTTCAGTTGTCATGGCAACAGTAGCTTTTTATAAAAAAACCATCATTATTTTTGTCAGTTTCAAAGAGATTCAGTAGCGCATTTCAAGGTTATTGAAATTGAAAGTTGGTATAAATATCACAAATAGCAAAAAGGAAAAAACTAAGGGGATGCCCCATTTTCTACGATGAAAATTTTCCCGCATACAAAATTTGGACCACTCTAATGTACATATATAGATATGAAATAAGAAAGTATATATTTATTATAAATAAAGTATTGGATAGGTTATTTGTTTATGATAGATACTTAAGAACGAATTTAAGGCATATCATTTGGTAGGCATTTATGTAGATATAAACGTATTCACTCCTACATGGCAACATGTATACCGATTTTCATCTAAAAAAACAAATTATTTACAAAACTTTTGCAGGTTGGTTTCTTTTAATCAAATACCTGTAGACTCCGGATCGAATTCGAGAAATGATGTATTAGCACTTATGGAAGGCTGTAAATTATTATCTTCCCCTACCGGTTGTCTTTTAAACTCCATCGCATATTCTTTAAATTTATCCCGAACATCTTCTAGAGTGTATATCAGCACTTCCAGCAAAGTTTTGCAAAATTTTAGTTTGATATCGGGAATGAGAATTGCTGCAATAACTGCATCCCAAGAGTCACGAGTGCAAACTAAAATATTTTTCAAACCTTTGCATTAGCTTTGATTGCATTTGAATATTAGTTTCCGTCAAATATTTCATGTTTTCGGAAGCTAAACGTCGCATTTTTATTTTGATGGACAGTAAAGTTGAAATAAAGTAACCAAAGAACATATTTTGCTCTCTTTGAAGGAAGTCGATAGCTTCTGCGATTGGTTGCATTACTTTTGCATATTCTTCCAAATACTCAATTTCTTCCTCATTGAAAGTAGAAATTTCCAGCTTATAGCATAGTTCACCTAATCTGTTTTTGACTTCTATTAACTTCTGAACCGAATCGTACAATGAGTTCCATCTTGTAACGCAAGGCGTAACCAGATTCGAAGATATAACTGTTTTTATTATTTGCGCAGATTTCGGCCTATTACATTTATTCCATAATTTTGTACACCTGAGTTAGCAAAATGAAAAAAGTTAATATATGTACATGTTGTAGATTTAACCTTACTTCCTTAGAGGGTAATTTTTGATACTATTTTTTCGTTTATACTAAACTACCCTATAATAGGACCATATATGCAAGGTACAATCTCTGAAAATTTGACTGAAATCTATCCAGTAGTTTTTGAGTTAAGTGCAATCATGGAAACGGCTATTATTTTACATATGTAGATAATATATTAAATTCACAGTAAAGGTTGGATTAAAAATAAAGCTAGATCTAAAGTTGAGCATTTCTATTATCGGTTTTTGACGTATGTATGTTTCTTGGTTGTAAACCAATTTAAAACCTTTATTTTAGGCATAATTATAAATTTTAATGCAACCTTTAAATATAAAGTGAGCTTTAAAGTGACAGGTTACTTGAGAAAAAGGCCCTAAGAGTAACAGCGTTACACTTTTTTGTTTTTTTGGAGTTTTTATTATTTTAAAGTTAGCTACAAATAACGCAACTTTGGATTAGCGTTTTCCACTTGCATATGTAAATTGGCTATCTTCGCTTGGCTAGTTTCACTAAAAGTTTAGTGATGGTGAGTTTTTTCTAACTATTACTAAAGTTTTAGTGATAATGCAATTGGTTTTTCACTATCACTAAACCTTCAGTGATAGTGAAATTTTTTTTTCACTATCACTAAATTTTCAGTGATAATGAATTCTGCATTTTAACTATCACTGAATATACAGTGATAGTGCAATTCAGTGGTAGTGCAAAAATGCTCAACCCTGATATTTATTTGCCGTAAGTGCTGAAGTCGAAAGTAATTGGAAGTCAAGTGAGTACTTTTTAACCGACTTCCAATGCGAATACATGTGTAGAGGATGCAATTTTTCACACAATTTAGATAAGTAATTATCTCAATTTTATTAATTGAGGTATTAAAAAATACTCAATAGCTAGATGACGTATTTTCTTTGTAGTCCTACGAATAAAAAATAACACTGTAGGGCATCAACAAAATAGTGCCAACATTAGTATCAATATGTGGTAGTCAAGCGGCAAAGGATTTTGCTCTACCCTATTTTAGGGGAGTTGAATTTATCTTTTTTTTGTTATCATCGTCAAAGCACAAGACCGCCAGCGAAAATCCAGGCGCGGTACTAAATATATGCCGTAAGGTACAAGTGTCCGGCATATATTTAGTATGCCCTACAGTGTTATTTTTTATTCGTAGGACTACAAAGAAAATACGTCATCTAGCTATTGAGTATTTTTTAATACCTCAATTAATAAAATTGAGATAATTACTTATCTAAATTGTGTGAAAAATTGCATCCTCTACACATGTATTCGCATTGTTGTTCAACAAAATTATATGTATGTATGTATAAAAACCAGGGTCGGTAATCATTATGAGTAAAATAATTTAAATCAGCATTTAATCATTATTTTATGATTTTTATTTTTTCGCTCAAAAATAATAATTATTATTGATTTAACTTTTTTTGCTCAACGGAAAGTATTATTACTTGTTTTTTATTTCTTTCGATATAATGATAATAATGATTTATTTGTCCGCTCAGAGATAATAATTATTATTGAGTTTTATTTTTCCACTTAAATATAATGATTATTTATAAAATTGAAAAACCCATGCAGACGGAACTTACTGAAATTTTGACCTGAAAACTTTGGGACTTATTCCTTTTATTAGGGTGTCACTATCTCTGAAAAGGATACGACAGAAATCACACTGGTATAGCTTTGAGTTTTTTGAATGATCATTATTCTTGAGTGAAAAAATCAAACTCAATAATTATTATCTTTGAGCGAAAAAATAAAAATCATAAAATCATCATTGTTATTGATCGAAAAAATTCAAATCATGTATTAATAATAATTATCTTTGAGCGAACAATTAAAACTCAAATATTAATAATTATTTTTGAATTTTATTGGTTAAACTCGAAAAATAAAAATCATTGTAAATTGCAGTAGGACGTATGAACATAAATACGTGAGAATAGTTAAAATTGTTTTACGACGATTACAACTTGGATATTTTTTCGGTTAGAACTAGGGCTGTGCGATTAATTGATTACTCAAAATTTTAATTAATCATAAAGTAAATAACTCAATTATTCGATTAATTGGAAATTATGATTACTCAAAAGTTCAGTTACTCGAGTAATCAAGGTTTTTGATTAACCAAAAACAAAAATATTTGAGTAATTTGCTTTACGATTAATCAACATGTTGAGTAAAATGAGTAATCAACATTTCAACTCTTTACATATGTATAAAGTAGTTAAAGTTCCTTGATACTTTGAAACCAACGTTTCTGTTTTCAAAAATTAAAACAAAAATTTTTTTTCATATACAGAATGTAAAAAAGAAAATAAGCATTTTCCAAAGTTCAAGTAACTCGATTAATCATCGTTTTGAGTAATCAAAATCTTGATTACTCGAGTAATTGATTAATCGAATAATTGATTAACCAACTTGCTCGAGTAATCGAATAATCGCACAGCCCTAGTTAGAACTAAAAAAAAATTATTATTTTCCGTCCCTAATAAAAACATTTGTTTACCGTGTTATAAAAAGCACATATGTAATTATGTATGTAGTACATATAAGTCCACAAATTTATGAGTGCATACAGGACCGTCGAGAGAAAACTCGTAAAATCACGGGCCCCTGACCATAGAGTGTATTAATTTAAAATCAATGTGATCAATTGAGAGTTTTCCGATGTAGCGTTTCTTTAACGTTTAAAAGCCTATAACCACCAGGAAGCAGTTTCTAGCGGATATATCGAAAAATATTTGTTTCTATAATGATTTTTTTTTGCTATAATACAAAATCAGTTAACAAACTCAACGAAATCATAAGTCTGTCATTATTACAGGACCCGTAAAATCCGAGGCCCTCTCTCTCTCTCGACGGGCCCCGTGCATACTACGAGTATGTTGATATGTATGTATGTACTAAATAAATAGAAGGATATACAATATATAATAAATGACCAAAGTTAATGTCAGCCACCTCAATTAACTATATTCAACACGTAAGCTAACATTTATTTGTTGCGATTAATCGCATGCACATGCATGTACGAGTATTTATGGCGTAGGCGAATCCATATAGACGGTAGTCCTGTACGAATGATTGAACCGGAAAGTGCCGTTAGTAGAGCGGCAGTTATTGTCAAGCGTGCGCGATTTTTACACTTTGTACGGCGGTACATACAATTGCATACATATTCAGTTGAAAAAGCACACATATAATTTAACAGAAATTGGACAATAATAACAATGTTCATATCATATGCAATATAACACGCTATACAGATAACACAAATACAAGTGTATACATACNATGTAAACAAAAATTATATCAGCTGTTCGTCTAACTTGCAAGTTTCTGCAAATTTTCTGTTCGCGTACTATTTTGGATATTTCTCTCTTGTGAGCGAACAGATGACATTTCGCCGGAATTTGGCAGTTGGTTGGTTTCTGTTGGAGATTTTAAACGAACGCACCTAATGTCAAGCGTGCGCGATTTTTACACTTTGTACGGCGGTACATACAATTGCATACATATGCAGTTGAAAAAGCACACATATAATTTAACAGAAATTGGACAATAATAACAATGTTCATATCATATGCAATATAACACGCTATACAGATAACACAAATACAAGTGTATACATACATACATAGCATTGGCATGTAAAAATGCATTAGCCCAATGTGCATACGGAATATAAGTTAATAGCACAAATTGTATGGGTACAACCTTACATGCATACAAATCCGTACATATGTATGTACATGCATTCGTGTACATAAGTACATATGCAGGTATGTTTTGCAAAATTCATGGAATTCACTCTTTTGTCTTTTCCGAGTGACAAGCGCGTCCTACGGTGGCATTGATTTTGTGGCTAACTTCTCATTCGAGTAGTCGTAACCGCAAACTGCAGACAAATGTTCCTGTTGACGGAAATTGAATCATACATACATGTCTTTGACAGTACATAGTAAGTATAGCAATCACAAGATGCCATTGAATGCTTTCAAAGTGTAACGTGCGACTGACTGTGAAGGACGAACGGGTTTAAATACATATGTATGTACGTAGGATATGCATACCATTGTACGTATGTATGTATTTAAAACGCATGTATGCAAGTTTAATCTACAGGAAATTGTCATAGTTTTGATTGCAATGGACACTTATCAGAAATCGATTGACAACGGGAAATTATATCAAATAGTAACAGATACATATGTATGTGTGTATTAAGTAGATGTGGCTACATTTGAACTTTACAATTCGAATAGTGATTAGAAAAACGTTTATATATACTAAGTGAAGAAAAAGATACGATTACAAGGCGGACAAAAAACGCTTACCCCCCAAAAAAAAAGCGTATAAGCGCTTTTGAATATGGGCTGTTCAACTTCTGCGCCAACTGTCTTGGATACAAACAAAGAAGGAACGCTTTCAGCTAACAAAGTTAACGACAACAAGGGCAGTTCAAATATGTGTGACAAGGCAAAGATTGAAGATATGGAGGCAAACAAATATCGTAAGTAAATACATAAACGTAAGAAATCTAGCTACATACATATAGTACTTAAACCTACTAGAAAAAGTTTCCGTAAAGACAATTTTTTTAAATTTCATAATGGGCACGCAAAAATCGCCGAACAACGTGAACTTACTTTTGGGTTATAAATTACGGAGTTTTTCAAGATCAAGTAATTTTTTCAAGATATTTTCGTTTTAAATTTGCATTGCGAACGAAGAAAAATTCAAACTTTAACATGGAAAATGCTACTCATACGCCACGTATGAGTATGTACGAGTACGGCCACGTACGCTATGGCGTATTAGTAACATTATTTCCTGCTTCTATTTCATACAAAAAATTATTGCACATTTTCATATGACCATTTAAAAGTTGTTTATCTATCGAATTTTATCATTAGTAGCTTGATTTTTAGCAAAAGAACGGGCTTTAATACAAATGAAAGAATTACAATTTTATTTTTTTTATTAAAGTTTATTATTATTTTTTTATTAAAATTTCTTGGGAAAACGACCCGATCTGGAAAACCGGTATACAGACCCATGATCTACGACCCAAAATTAAGTTTACGTGTCTCAGCGTTTTTTGTGTCATTGCACTGTATGAAAAATCTCAAGTTTGTGAGCTTTTTTAGTAATTTTTCTTGAAGAAATACATATGTATAGTGGCGCTCACCTAAATAGCACACTTTAATTTTTTACAATATTTACAATGATTTACGTGATACATTTTTTCGTAAGTTTTTTTTACAAAATTATAGTAGATTCTATAACATAAACCACATACATAAGTCACAGTTTTAAACTTCGTGCACAGTTCAGAAAAATTTTACGAATATCAAAAAAACTGCATCTAAATTTTCAACTCTTTTTCAGAATTTTTAGGAACAGTTCAGGAAAATTAACAAATTTCAAAAAAATTTTAACATTTTCAAATTTTTTTTTTAGGAATTTTTAGAAACATATTGGGTATACAGTGCAGGTTTGAAAATTCTGAAAAATCTCGTGCATTTTTGAGATTTTTTTTGTCGAGGGTGTTGCGTATTTTCTTCTATATAAATAAAATAAAATAGATTTTGTTCATACGTTATATGGGAGAAAATGCGCAACACCTTCGACAAAAAAACCTCAAAAATCATAGGGATTTTTTAGAATTTTCAAACCTGCAGATAATTATACTAAAATAAAATGGGCTACAAAACTACATACAACATATTTCTAAAAATACTTAAAAAAAAAATTTTAAATTTTGATGACATTTGTTAAATTCTCCTGAACTGTGCACAAACTTTTAAACTTTGACTTATAAGGTTTATGTTATAGAATCTACTATATTTTTATAAAAATTAACAAAAAAAAAATCGATCACGTAAAACATTGTGAATATTGTGATAATTAAAAGTGTGCTATTTAGGTGAACGCCACTGTATATACACGAGCATTTTTTTCTTGCGAGGTGTAAACTGATTCTAACTGATTCTGATAATTTCTTTTAAATTTATTCGACGTCATTTTATACGAATTATTCCTTTTTCTTGAAAGCTGTATACTAAGCTTAAGAGAGTACCCCTACCATTTTTAAATATTTTTAACTCCTTATGATGCAAAAAGTGAAACTAAATCGTTAAATTTGACTTTCACCCACCTACCACAGCCGCTTCAGAAGCATTCATCATACCACTGAACGACGCGGTCGAAACAAAAGTGTACACCGCTGATGCGCCAGAAGCAAAGGATTTACTCGCAGCGACTGTGAAAAAACAACCGCCCAAGCGTATACAAGAGCTAATAGAGCAAGCGGCAGAAAATGAAGCGACCGCTGTTAATTTACAAAATTTAGAGGAGAAACTCGAGAAGGCCGAAGAACGTAGAAAGGAATATTTGCAACAGAAAATTGAAACCATACAAAAAACAACACAAATGTTGACAAGAAGTAGCAGTAGAGAATTGTTGGAGAGGGAAAAGCAAGATGAGCCGGATGTTGATGGCCAAATGGAGAAGGAGCACAAAAATGACAATCATGCTGAATATGGCCAGGGGAAAAAATAGTATGTTCTTAATTTGAAATATGTATGTAGTATTAGTATGAAGTAGATTTTGTACGGCATGAGAAAGTAAAAACGCCTAAAAATATGTTTAGTTAAATATTCGATAAATTCAAAACAGTGAAAAAGAAAAAATTATTTATGGGTTTGTATGAGTAAATGCGCTTACTTGACTACATAAACTATTTAGATATTAAATTTTTTTGGCAATTACAATAATAAAGTTGTGAATATTAATAATTTTAAAATCAACTTAATTACCCAATTTCATAGTCACATTCCATTACGGCGAACGTTCGAAAATTACCTTCGATAGTCAATATGAATATTGTACTGAAAACGATATTATAACCAACCTTATTTTTCCAACATTCAAAGTATTTATATTGGCAAAGGGTTTAAAAAAGTGTAAGTTAATAACTGACGGACGAAAAAAAGGCTAAAAATTATTATTTTTTTTCTGATATGACACAGATGTGAAGTTTATGAAAAACATTTTTATTTCACATACATGCGTAAAGTACATATTGTTACCTTAATTCACGAAAGTTCCTAACCAACTCTTTTTCGAAACTGCGTTTTTTACAGATTTTGGTAGGATGTATTAAAATACACCTTCAATGAAAGTTTTAAAGTGCTAATACCAAAAACAACGTAGTTACATGCCACCTTTTAAAAAGCCCTACCTATTTTTTATACTCTTTTTTATAATGCTTTTGCTTCTCCAGTAAAATAAAAAATTTATTGGTTGGCATTTGTGAATTAAGCTAACGATATGTACATGCATATAATTTTTAAGAATAATTTCCATAAAAAAAAAAGTTACGCAATAGGAGTCATACACTAGCCGCCTCTTTTCCAGATGGTGTACAAATTACAAAAAAATGTCTTATCGAAGAAGGCAGTAGCTATAGCGCTAAGCAGGAACATAAATTTTAAAATTTTATTTGCAAAAACGACAGTAGGTTAAAGAAAACCATGATAAAAACATAGCAAGGTAGAACCGTTCTCTCAAGTTGTCGGCCATGATTTTTTTTTTTTGAAGTTTGCCAACATTTTAAAATCATATAAAAGTGAAAATAAAAAATTTAAATTGTTCAAAATTGTTGTTGGTTGAGATTGAAAATGAAAATGTGAGTGTGAGTTTGTTAGTAAATTTAAAAATTAAATTCCCTATAAACATTTTGGTTGAACGTTCGAAAAGTACCTTCGATATCCAATGTGCATATCGAACTGAGAACGAACTCATAACCAACCTTGGTTTTCCAACGTTCAGAGTAAATTTGAAATACACTCGAAATGGGTTCGAAAAAAAATTAAAACCATAGTAACAAGAGAGAAAGTGAAATCCAGCTCATTCTCGAAGGAAAATATAAGACAATCGCTCTCTCACAATAAAATTTCAATTCGATAATGGGCTGGATTTCGTATTCATAATGAAGGGAAAATACATTGGATAACGAAGGTGCCGTTTTGCTGGAGAATGCCTTAGTTCTCGAATCGAATACTAACCTATTGCACATTCGTTATCGAAGGTAAGACTCGAAAAAAAGATTGGTTTTCCAATCA